GAATCATAATCCACAAGTAACACACCTTGAGAGACTACTTGGTATAGAGAAATACTTAAATACTTATCAAAATATTAATTTGATTATTATTTTGGTTAAGGTACCTCTGAACCCAAAATGAAGTTCATAAAATTCATTAGATTTTAACACCTCAATTTTTCAACGTTTAACAATATTAAGTGAGAAAATCTTAATAAAGTAAGATATGAAAACTGTTCAAAAGAAATCTAGAGAATTATGTAAGGGCTGGCAATAAATGTTTGCATAGAAAAATATTTTTTTTTGTTTCCCTTTTTAACTTAATATGCATTCAGTAGTCACAACAAATAACTCAACATTTGATGAGAATACAAAATAATTTGCTATTGAACTTTTTACAAAAAGTATGCAGTATGCATTTGTGATATTTTCAATAATATATGATATATCATATGTATCACTGATATATCATAAATGCTAAAGATAAATTACATACCTTTTTTCGATTCTGATTGAGTCTTCCTGCAAACAAAATATTAAACGTCGTTAATGTTTGGTAATGTTGCTAGCACAATACGTTACTGTAAAAAGGGGAAATATAATTGCATTCACATTATTGCCTAGAATGTTTCTTTTTTTAAAACCCTCGATGTTAAATTGTCCGATTGAAACGAGAGAAACTCCTAATTATTACTTACTTATTTTCCTGCCCATCCGTGGAAAAGATTTGGCGACTAATAATTTGAAGTTCACGAACTGTCACCGGGCCCCAAAATATTTCATCGTCGCTGTCACTCATCGCGCCGACTTCTCGTATTTCGCAGCGTCCACTTCAGCTGCCTCCGTCGCGTTTAAAATCCGACGCCAAGTACGTGCATGCACAGACACGCAATAACCGGCAAGTTCTCTCCCCCTCATCACATCGAATCGGGAGCTCTCGGCTGCACGAATAGGCTTCGGGAGCAGCTGCCGCACTTCGAGGTTCCCGTTAAAAGTAACTAACCAACCAATCCAAAGCCGCGGCTGGGCTCTTCAAAAATCCACATATCTCAAAGAGAAAGCAAAGAGTGGTTTCGTTGCAAGCCGGGACCTTTAAATTTTGTTAAAATCTTGCAAATTAATATATACTGTGATATAATATACGTAATTAACTAGCATACAGAAACAATTTTGAAGTATCACAACAAAGTCAACAGGAGCTTTGAGAAGAAATTTTGCCCTATGGGAAGAAGACCCGAGACAATCCTGATTTTTAATTTTGTCTCCTTAGTAAAGAGATAGTAATGTAACGGCGGAAATTCGTCTTTTTTTCGACAGAAAAACCTGTATAGAACCTTGGTGAAGAAAAACGAATAAATGTTGTTCGTATATGTAGTAAATTACATACTCAAATACATTGTGTTGTCAGAATCCATATTTGTGAGCCACTCTTTCCTATCGGTCTCCCTTGACCAACTCCGGCTCGTTTCGAACTGGAAGCGTGTAGAGTTTGAAAGCCTAAGAAGTCACATATCTCCCACTTATCTTTTTCTGTATATTCTTTCTTCTAATCACCCTTCACTTGGAATTACTACAAGTGACCGCTGACTCGCGTCTTCACACAATCTGTTCACATAATCTGTAATATGACACATTCGACCAAAACATTTTGAATAAAAAACTATCTCAATTTTGTAGATCACACTCGACTCACAGTCAGGCTTTTGTAAAGTATGAGTATTCCTAGGATGGGGAAATATAATAAAGAAGGGATGACCTAAAACATCGCCATAAAAATCAATAAAATGCTCAAAATTGTTTTTAAAATGCCCTAAAAACAAAGAAAAGTTACGTAAAATTATTTATCAAAACAAATTCAAATGCCTAACTCAAGCTGTTGGATATGTTACTGATGTAATCGCAGAGGCGGATAGAAGGGAGCATGTCCCCACCCAAATGGCCTAGAGAAAAAAATTAAAATAGTAAAAGTCCAGGAAAAATAAAAACGAGGAACACAAGAAAATTATAGAAACAACCAAGATGTATCGAAAAAATAATCGAGCGTTCTTTCCTTAGCCTTTTAGATACGAATGGGAATCCTGATTCTCGCTGTATATTAGCCCAGTAGTGCGTATAAAAAATGTCTTCCGACTGTTCTCCAGAGGCGTGCGACAGCTCATCTCTTTCTTAGGGTACGTTTATGTTGGAGCGGCGATAAACGATGAGAGCGAAGAGAGAGTTGTTGTTGCGA